TTTGTCCACCGTCCAACCATTCAAATGCATTGATCTTTCAAATAAAAGTAGGGTCCAAACCGCGGAACCCCCACCCCCAGATCGGCCAATTGGTAACCGGGGGAGGGGGAGGGGGGTCCCGGGAGTTAGAATCCCCAATTTTGTTTAAGACCAATGCTTTAGAATAGAGACATATGACTGGGATACAAAAAAAATTACCTTCAAGCAAAGGAGTATTTAAAGGATTATTTTTGTCTTCAAAATAGATGCTTAATTTTTTTCGCTATTGGAATTTCCTAAAATGCAGTGGCGGATCCAGAACTTTTTGTAAAAGGGAGGGGGGGGGGGGGGTGGCACTGACTGACCTAAGGGGGGCCCGCTCCAGTCATGCTTCAGTGATTCCCTATATAATCAACCAAATTTTTCCCACAAAAGGGGGGCCGCTCCCCCCACTCCCCCCTTCCATCCGCCTATGACATGTGTTTTTTTTAATATCTTGAAACAATTTATAGTGAACACTATTAGTAATTTCTTATGTTCATGCTATTTAAAAAAATAATCAATTTCTATTGTTACGAAAAACAATGGACTTTGTTTGCGGGATGTAGAAGCAGGGGTTTCCAGAAACCCCGCTCGTCACACCCTGTGGTCACAATCCTTTGTTATTCTTTACAATAGATCTATTCATTTTACACTTGTTTCAGAAATAGAAACTATGAAGTATAACAATAGTACTGGGGTGTTATAATACAATGAATAGGTGTTCACAATTATCTTCCTACACTGAAACATTTCACGACAGTTCGTACGACAATCATAAATCTTACGTCGGTCACACGTCATATATCGTACGATTTTGACCGTTTCATAAAAAGTTGTAAGTAAGATTTTATCGTAAATTAACGATTGGTAACGGCCAGTCGTAAGTCGTAAGTCAAATCGTAGTGGTTAATCTTGCTGACATTTCGATAAAAATCAACAACATTAGTAAACCTTTTCAAACAGAAAAATAATGTTCAATGGGACGGAAAGAAGAAATGTACAATGTTGATTGGTCCGGGTCATAAGTGACTGACATTTACCATTTCCAACAAATTCAGACATTTGAATTTATCTTAATTAAACTAGAACGAGCACCTTGCTGTCTTAAGTCCCAAAATCGTTGATAACAAGAGTAGACACATCCACGGACGGTGATATCGCGAACAAATTACAAAATTGAGAGATTTTTTCTATCTACATGTACATGCCCTCTAATCCTCTTATCTTTGTTTTCTTAACTACAGTGTATCTCTAATGTGCGTTTAATGTTCATGAAGTGGTAGAGTGATATAAAAATCCTAAGTTTTAATATAGTAACACCATTAGATCTATGAGGTTCGTGTTCTCCTTGAGATATCAAACGAATGCTTCAACCCCGTATACTCTATACCTGCTTTGGTCTTCTTTTTGTTTATTAAATGCATTTCTATAATTCTATGTTATTTTCAAAAAATCAATTTGAAAAATATAACATTTAACTTTGCAATTATGTGCTTGTTTTGATACAGATAAAACTTAATTTCCGCCTCTCTATTTTATAGTAGAAGAAGCAGTATCAACTTGAACTAACGCTCATTTCGCCAATCCTTCTGTAAATGTCCCCTATCATAGCAGGTGTGCTGACAATATTTATAAAAAAAGGCTATACATAACAATTTTAAAGTGCCCATAGTATCGTAGATCACGGTACATCTATGCATAAAAGAACACAGTTGCGGCATAACATCAAACAATTACAGATTTGGAAATCTTCATTTGCATTCATAATTTGCCCGACAGTTTCATCGCAAAATATACAGATATAATAAGAACAAGGACACTATCAATGTGTACATCAATGCATTAGTTAGAGATTTTGACAGGAAATACTGTAGGTTTAATTGTTGGTCCTTGTTTGACATACAGTAGCAATTATCACATATATACTAATGCCGATAATAATAAAACTTGTAAATTCTCCAGACAAGTCTGTAACTATAAATTGCTTCTTTTGAAAGTGGGTGTATTGAAAAGGGTGGATGTGTTAGGTTTGCAACAGGGCACCTACAGATCCCTTAAGAATATATTACAAGGATTCTTTAACGCGCAGAGAGTGTGGCATTCGCCAGCACGAGGCATTGGATTTAAAGTTTCCCATCAGACCGGACGTGGCTGAGTATTTATATATCCTAAGCACAGCCAAACTGACGCATATTCCAGCGAGGGTTTTACGTCCTGATGTCAAGAGAAGATCAAGGAATTCAATTTTCGTCTTATACAAGTCAATTTCATTTGATCAAAATAATAATGGAAAGGTTCGGTTGGAGAGGTGGTTTACGTCACAGTTTTGATAAACAAATAGATTGGAAGAGAAAGAGAGAATCAAGTTCACATACGGAAATTGATATGACATAGCTGTAAAAATAAAAAAGTAGATAATTTACGAGAGCACATTTTACGAGCTCTACCTGATTAATTGATTGTTGTTTGCATAACGTCCAGTGGCAAATATTTCATGAATGTTCCTGGAAATACCAGTCTGAGAGTATATAGAAAGGACCGGAAATTTAAACATAATTATTCTGCATGTCGATGTCGGAATCAAAATAATTTATGTCCGTCCGATGAATTGTATTAATTTTTTAAACGGTAACACCTCAACGAAAATCATGCCTACCCGTGGTAAAATCGAATGCGAGTAATGGATATACCTAAATTTTGTTCTTGACTCTTGTATGTTGGCAGCTGTTATATGCAGTAATAAGCAACATTACTGATGAACATCGACCCATTTACTCTTTTTTTTTACCAAGAATCAGACGATTTGGCACACCCTAAGCCGCAATTTAGTGCATCAAGTAAATAAAAATTATCTTATCGAATTCGAAGTACATCGAACCATGATGACTTATGATATTAATGATAAAGATGTTGATGAAAATTTAATTGAACCATGTGTGAAATAAACTTAAGTTTTGGTTTAAGACTATTCTGGTATATGAATAAGTTACTTGATTTGTCCCTCTGCAAACCTCTGTTTTCCAAGGGATCAATCTCATAAACAATTATGTATCCAGACAGGTGGAAAACTACATTGTACCAAAAGTTGTTTCCCATAGAATATACCCAAAATTTGTGTACAGTAATTTTTAATCTCATTTGGGATAATAAATCACTAACCTGCAGTTAGTATATCTCATTTAGGGCCAATGTTCCCAACTTTTTAAGAACCAATGCATTTAGCTAATTATTTTTTATCAGTTTGGGTAAAAAAAATTCATGTGTATTCTTCAATTGTAATGTCGATTTGCCTTATTGACTAATCCTCATCTCGATATCTCCTCTAATAAATTAAGCGACCCTGAATCAAAGGAACACAAAAAAAGAAGAAAGAAAAAAAAACAATACGATTTTGCAAAAAACATATCTAAAACAATCTACACACCAAGTTTGATGATTTCTGATCTTTATAGTTACCTGGAATGTTTTGGCTTGGATATTGGAAATTCTAATCATAAAATGAAGAGGCACTAATAATTTGATCTAGTTTAAAATGTTGATAATTATTATTTCTAGTACTAGATCTAGTTAAAGAAGTAGTACGTAATGGCAATTATTTTACAAAGTAATGCTTTTAAAATCAGAGTTATCTTTCTTTTCAATGTACTTAATTCTTGTATCATATATGAAAAAAACCCCGATTGATTGATTTATTGATTAGTGGCTTCTTAATCATTTTAATATCCGAGGGACGGATAAATAAGAATAGGTGTAGGTCGTATGTTAATGGGACAGCAACCCAAAGACACAAAAAACCAAAGGACATCTAAACGTAAGGTATAAAGCTCATGTCAAGCTCTACATCATGGTTGTTTGATGTGCGATCGCTTAGCTCAAACATTTCATGCATGCATATCCAAGGACGAGAACAAATTAATAATAGTAAAACTAAGTTCATTTTTCAAAAAGGCATTGTACCTGACTATCCTATTGTTTTAAAAAGAATTTAGATTGTGATATCATACTAATGTTTTACTTTGGAAAGGCAAAAATGCCGTTTGAAAAAAATAATAATGCCCATCTAAATATTTTATAAAATACTTCATTTCTAAATGTTAATAAAACTGCAGTGTAAGTAAAGATTATTTTTTGTGCTGTGTTAGCTACAGAAATGACTAAAAGGAGCAATTATGTGTACTATATTTTGTATTTGTTTCCTTCTTCTAAAACAAATCTTGAATAAAAAGTGTTACTAGGATGAGGTTAAAAATATTGTTTTGTCCCCAATTTCTCTATTTCCATTAGGTTGATTGTATAAACAGGTGTGTATGAAAATCTATGATGTATTTTACATAATGTTGTCTATTGGGTCCCAGATACTGTCACGTAAACCAGTTATGTCTGTTCCGGTTGCTCACACAATTTTGTCAATATGATGGAACTATAAAAAAAAAAATATCATACAAGTGGGACGTTTAGCTAGCTATAAAACCAGGTTTAACTCACCATTTTCTTCGGAAAATGCCTGTAGCAAGGAATATGACAGTTGTTTTCCATTCGTTCCGTTGGCCGATTTAGTCAAGGATTTGTGTTTTGTCGGTATTTTATATGGACTTTCTTTTTTTTTAATTTACCTTGTAGTTCAGGGTTTTTGTTATTACTATTTTTATGCATTTACAATTGTAATGTATAGTTAAGTTCGTGAGCTTTAAACAAAACTAAATTTCTCCTTTCTTTATTTGATATTTATTATCATAATAGTAGCCGCAGCTGTCCCTTGTGTTAACGGGCTAGATGATCAGGCACTTGTCTCTGAAAAAAAAATATCCTATATACCTTTTATATAACACGTATATAGGATTTTCTATTAGATATGACATTGAAACAATAGATTTTTCTGTAACACGTGTACACTTCTGTCATGTCTAGAAATAGAATTTGGAAAATACCTAATAATCATACACATACACATAAATATTGTTCAAAAATACACGTTTAATCAACTGAGAGGATATTTAAAGGTAAGTTGCGTACGTGGTAAGGAAGTAGCCGAATGTTCTCATATTGAATTATCTTTATATTAAATATAAAATATACAAAGTTTATATTAAAATTTGGGTGAAGAAAAAATAACAATTAAAACAATAAGTGTTTTAGCAGGGCTTTTTTTCTATGTTAAACAATATGTTAACTTAAAAAAGAATAATATATGGAATCAAAAAAGAAAGACATGAAATAAAAATAAGTATTCAATAACGCTTACAATAACAGATGAACAAAAGGATGTATGGTATGTCTATCATTTTATAGCGACACGACGACACAAAATCGCATAAAACATCTAGAGATTAGCATACAAACGTTTAAACAATAAGTAATTCTCTAAATCGATCGAACCTAGACGAGTGCGAGTAAGTATATTACAAAGACTTATAAGACAAAAGCTTCCATCAACACAAAATGTTCCAAATTAAAAAAAAAAATTTCAGCTACATGTATAACTATATCTATATCTAGACCAATGAATTCACAAACGGTACATCAAAGAAACTGTATTAACTGTATTAACTGTATAATGCCGACAAAAAAGAACAAAAATACAAGGGAGCACAGTAATGAATGTTCGTCGTTACCGAAAACAGGTTTAAAGTGATTATAACTTGTCGATATTATAGCAAATATATAAAAACTGACTCCCGTGTCATACAAGGGGCGTTCTGCTGATTAATGTTAACATGGATCAATTACAAACATGTGCATTTGACGTTTTGTTGTTAAAAATGTAATATATTGATATATATATACGTCTTTAGGCAATACATATCAAGTTCTTTTAAAATGTGCAATTTCAGATATATGTTTGTACAATTTCTATTGCAAGTTGGTGTACTAAATAACAGTCATTTTCGTCCTACTACGTGTAGTGTAACGAATGAATTTACTATTGAGCTACGAAATTTATCTCCCTTTTTTAGCCACGAAAACTGCCCAATTTATTACATTTTATCGACAGCAAAAAATACATTATTTATCACACATAAATGTCTTATCACTTGATATATAATTCATTTTTTGTTTTGACATATCTTCACAATTTGATAGTTAATATATATTAATGTAGAACTCGAAACATCAAAATACGGTATTCATAAAATTTCACGTAAATCAATATGGATAGGTTAGGAAGTTTGGCTGTATTCATTATTAAAAACGGATTAAAGTTATGAAAACTCTTTATTCTACATCTTGTCGATACTTATATTTAACATTGCACAAGGTCATGCGTTTCTCAGATTGTTTATGACGTCTTTATACTAAATCCGTTGGATGTGTACTGATTGATACTTAAGTCTGGGAGAAAATGATTTATTTATTAGTTGTACATGTTGTAATTGGCTTAAAAAGTTTGAACTATCTTTCAGTAGCTGCGAGTACTCTTATTTCGGTGCTTTTCTATTTATTTTTATGTTAGTTGTTGTTGTGCCTCGTACCGATCTTTTGAGTTAAGCTAATGTTACAGAGTTTGACATATAAACAAAATAAGAAGATGTGGTATAAATTGTTCTTATGTTGTGTCTTTACACCACTGTTCCATATAAGGGGAGGTTTAAGCGCTCACAAGCTTGTTTAACCCCGCCACATTCGTTATGTGCCTGTCCCAAGTCATGAACCTGTAGTTAAGTGGGTGTCGTTGGTTCATGTCTGTCATATTTGTCTCCGTGATAATATATAGTCTCTGACTCCCCCGCCTCCATGTTGTTTATTTTTGAGTGACTAGATCAATACCAATTTTTATTTATTATATAATGATATATTCCCTCACAATTCTTTAATAAAAATCAACAAATAACTGGTTTTCGTAAAAATATAAAGATTTGTTCGAGTCAATTGTTAAAACGAAGAAACAGGTTTAAGTATATTTATATTGTATATTTGTATATTTTTATATTTTTAAACTCTTTATTAAATTGTTTTGTTGTAAATTAGGACTTTGGTTTTCTCGTTTGAATTTTTTCACATTTTTTATCGGTTTCTTTTATAGCTGACTATACGGTATGGGTTTTTTTTCTCATTGTTGGAGGCCGAACGGTTGCCTATAATTGCTAACATCAACTTCATTTGATTTGAACACTGATGGATAGTTGTCTCATTGGCAATCATACCACATCTCCTTATTTGTATATGGTGGATATTAATATCAGCATTCCTTAAAACCTTATAACGTTGTCTATCTATTTCAGCATTAAATTGGCTGTTCCTATTATGGGGGATGATGTATATAAACGGAAGAAATTAACAATTACGAAACAGAAGGAATGTGTCGCCCAAAACAGAAATGAATTGTGCACAGGCTGGACAGATTTACAATATTTTTCTAAAACAGAAATAGGACGTAGAAAAATATCTTTGTCTCCAATCTTAACCGTGTTGTTTATCATATTCTTGCTTAAACGTACTACTGAATCTTTCAAAGCACGCACAAGAATAAAATTAAAAACCAAAGAAACCACAAAAAAGAAGGCACCGGGTATACTACAGTTAAAATCAGGTTGGATATTTGATAATATCATTAAACCGTGGCGCTGTTTTCCTCGCAATGTATATCACGCTTATCCATTCCTTCCTCAAGAAACCAGTTTACACTTTAAAAATGGAAGACAAATATCAGCATCCGCAAATATGCAATTTGAAGGCGCACGATTTGCTACATTTGCTTCGTTTCCACATGTTCCTGGCATTTTTGCAACTAGATTGGCAGAGGCAGGTTTTTATTATTCTGGAAGCGGAAACGAGGTGGTATGTTTTAGCTGCGGTGTTAGATACAGTAGTTGGAGACATCATGACTCAGCATTCGAAATTCACAAACGTATATCCCCAAACTGCCCTTTTATATCAGATGAAGCAGTTAAACGCAAGGAAGGAAATCAGAATTTTGATGAAAGTATGAATAATAACATTAAAGAGGAGAAAATATATCCACATACAAGTTCGGAAACAAGCTTTGGGATTAGTTCCTCTTCACAGGAGCAAATGCAACATTACAAAAACAATAAAGACGATGGTTCTGGGACTTCGCAACTAAGTAATCCAACAAATAGAATAATAAGTGCAGAGAATGTCGTTACCCCTGGGTTTTTAACAAGCGATAATCAAAGTTTGGTTGCAACTCCCAAAATAGAAAATAAAGTTAAAAAATCAGAGTTAAACGCCACTGGAAATGTATTGAAAGAATCAACTTCAAGATCTGCATTGCGGATGGAAGGTACATCATCTTCAGAACTGTTAGAGATAGGAGTGTGTCTTGATAAAGCAAAATATCCAAAATATGGCATTCGATCAAATAGAATTGATTCATTTAAACACTGGCCGAGTTACCTCACACAGACTCCTGAAGAAATGGCTACAGCAGGTTTCTTTTTCACTGGTAGGAATATAATTATATTGACTCATCATATTATAGAATTGAGCAAACTTTAAGGATGTTTTATGTTTACTACTTGTATATCAATAAGAGCATTTAAGTGTAAATTAGAACAGAAGGTATTCGTCCATAAAAAGTAATAAGCCGAAAATCCTGTGTTCTCAAAGAATATAATCTCATTTAAATGTTCGATATACTTTAGAATATGACATCTACTAGTACTAGACAAACTTAACGCAATTGTATATTACCTAATGCTCTGCGTTTTCGTTTAGTAAAATAGATGCATTGCGTGTTATTGCGTTCCGTTCGTCCTTCGTCAGATGTCTGTCTATTTTAGGTATTGAGGATCACTGTCGGTGTTTTTTCTGTGGAGGAGGATTGAGAAACTGGGAACCAGACGACAAACCGTGGACAGAACATGCCCACTGGTATCCGAACTGTGCTTTTGTGAGACAGAGTAAAGGACAGAAGATTATAGACGAAATGCAATCTAATGGATATCAGCCAATACTACAAGAATCAGAGGAATTGGTGAATAAAGCATTCCATACATCTTTCATCATTTTATTGAATAAAGATTTCTTTAAAACTTAGTGTTTGAAAAAGTAAAATGAAATATAGAACAAGAAATACTTCCAACCTGCAAACCGAATCGGTTGTCTCGTTATAGCGCTTTTTAAAGAGGCAAGGGGTATCGGGGGTTTCCAATATATTCCCAGCAAGTTATGACTCATTACATTGTATCGGAACATTATGATACATGTACCAATGCCTTTCAGCAATCACACCAACAACATTAACAATCTAAATATTTACCTTTTAATTTTTTTTTAAGAATGCATGCCGTCGGCGACCTGATTTAACCACGACTGGCAAGGAACATGTTGCAATTGATTTCAGTATTCATCCTGCTGTTTTGTCTGTGTCAGAATTTGGATACAGTGAATGTGTGGTAAAGAAAGCATATGATTTACTTCATACAGCAAGAACGAAAGGTGTGTTACATCACGTTTAGAAATACCATTGAAAATGAACTATCTGATTACAGATAAGCGAAAATGAATGGATCTATTCTTTCTAACGGTCAAATAAAACGAATTTATACAAACTGAATCTAAATAATGTGTTGATAAGTAGAATATATTTTACGACATGCATGATTTATGGAAGTTGTTCGAAGTAAAGTAAAAGCTATAAATATGTTTACAACATTTGCAATAAGTTTAACCTCTGACCACACATTTTAATCTTGTTACCAAAATATGCTTCATGCTAAATCGCGAGCCTCGGTGGCCGAGTGGTCTAAGTAGTCGTACTGCTGTATCACTAGCCTGTCAACACTGAGGTTGTGAGTTCGAATCCCGCACGGGGCAAGTTCACTCGACTCCAATCTTAATTGACTAGGATTGTCAGTTTTCCTACCGAAGATCGGTGGTTCTCTCCTGGCACTCCGGCTTCCTCCTACAATAAAAACTGACCGCCACGAAATAGCACAATAGTGTTGAAAGTGGCGTTAAACACCAATCAATCAATCAATCATGCTTAATCGTTTTCATTGGTGTTCAAACTTGACAAAATGAAATTCAATCTCATTTGAAAAGCCTTTTTACGCATCTCAAATATAAATTTGTTACCTTTGTGATGAAAAAATATTCAGCTCCGGGATCGTTTTTAAATTGTATTCGTATTTCAACTTTGAATTTATATTATCAAGTAAATCTATTGGTTTTAAGTCTTTTGAGTTAGTCAACATAAAAAGAAAAGCTGTAAGGCCAATTTCCCCGATGTTTGTTTTAGTCACAGTCTCACAGATCAAAATCTAAAAGTTGTTTGAATTTGAATTTATTAAAGTGATTAACTGTCATATACTTACATTTTTCAACGATTTGACATATTATAATATAATCAAAATTTGATTCGGCACAACCTGTTGCTTTTGAAGGCATTTTGATAAAAATAAACTCATTAAAGATACAACATTGCAAATCTTAAATGTTTTTTTTTCAAATTGTTATCAAAGAACGTCAATAACCCAGATAAAATAAAAGATGGATAAATACTCAACATTTGACTAAATATGTCGAATTGCAGTTTTAAGCTGTCGTAAGGCATGTATTACTTAGCCAAATGTTTAAGCAATAAGGTTGTTAGAACCTCAACGTACACACAAGGACCTACTAAGACAATGAGAATTTAAGAAATGATTGAAAACCTTTTGAAATTGGTCAAAGTGTGAAAACAAAATCAGGGGAAATTGGACCTACCTCTTAATTAATTATATCCATTATTACAGTTATTACTGGTACAACTTTACTTGAAGCCATATTCGAGATGGAGGAAAAAACAACCAAGGATCGGTCTAATGATACTCTGAAAATAGGACAAGCAGAACAAACAGAACAAATTGGTCGTAATGAAATACCAATTGAGAAACAGGAAACCACAGTAGACCTAGAACTTGAATGTAAATACATATTTTATTATATATGCTCAGTATAAAATTACTTAATTCGTTATTCCTGGTCTGTTCTAAAGAAAGACTTGCGTTACCATTTTTGATGATTCCAAATTCAATGAAAACCTTATATAACCCTTTACAAAGTAACATAATCTATATAATTCCACACCGTGTTATCAATATCAACTTCTATATATATGTTACACTCTCAAACCGGAACCAACTGCAGGTTCAAGAGACACATGTTAAGCTTTGATTTTAATAGTAACACTATATTGTTTTTTTTTCAGTATCAATCAGAAGTTTGGAGGAAGAAAATCAGAACCTGAAAGATCAACAGACTTGTAAAATATGCCTCGACAAACCAATTTCTATTGTTTTCCTCCCATGTGGACATATGGCGTCGTGCGCAAACTGCGCGCCAGCTCTAAGAAGATGCCCTATATGCCGGGTGTTTATCAAGGGAACTGTCAAAGCTATAATGTGTTGATATATAAAGTAATTACCAATAAAGGGCAATAAAGTTTAAAATATTTTAACAGCTTTTAAATTTGTGTTTGAAAAAAAACTGAAAGTGCAGATACTTCGATAATTTTTTTTAAATTTTTTAACAACATTATATTTTTATTCATCAAATCTTGCTTAAACCATCAAGATTCCAAGCTTCTCTTGGCGTACCCTGTAACACTCCACTGACTGCCCAGGGAATAATCAGCTGATTAGATTTATTGACATATACATTTTGATAACACTTAGTAATTAGTCATTTTTAATGTTCCTTTTAATTGTTAGTAACATTGGACTTGCTACCTTATGTCCACTAATATTGGTTCTTACTCTCTTCATTCACAAAAATTCTGCAGACATTAACATTTATTTTATAATTATCTTGATGCCGTTTGTCTATAAACAAAACTCGTCTTCGGTTGTACAGCGCAATTTAAGTGCACATGACACGTGATTCTTTAATCCTTAAACATATATTTAAAAATAGATTTCTTTCTAAATGCAATCAACATTAAGTTAGTAATACTTTTAAACGAATAAAACTTGTCGTTTTTTGTCCTTAATCACTGGATATCACCGACGTTCTCGTCCTATTTGACGTCACAACTCATACAAAATGTCTTGCACAACAATGCAAAAGTGATAGTTCTCTGGCGTCAACAGGTCAAGTGTCATAATATTTAGGGTCAAGGGTCGCAAATCCAATTAGCGCTAAGGTGTATTTATATATGATGATACCATCTGGACACTTTAGTTGAGAAATGTCAGTTATGATGTCATAAACCTGTCGAATTGGTATTACAGCACTTATATAGCTCAGAGGTCAATTGTGTAGATGGTTACTCTCCTACGAAAACTTTACAAACTGAGGTGCCGGTAATGACTTGTATGTGTAAGGACTTTTCAAATCTGTCAACCACCTACTTCCTGTTTTCCGATTCTTCAATTTACGAATTGGTTATGCTTATCATGACATCGCGTTTTCTTGATTCACTTAAATAAAGTTTTCGGAGATATTATAGATCTATCAACTTGAAAGCTTTACCCAAAAATATACAAACCAACACTAACGCATTTGTGTTAGAAATTTTATAGCTCAATGTCTTTTCGGTACGGCAATGGCCAATATATAAATATTAATGACAAGAATTTAAAACGAGGCTAGAATGGCAGTTATTTCCAGTTTTGCATTAAATACTGGAAGTTTGCAGCCTTTAACCGAATGAGTTAAGCAAAGAAAATGAAAAAAATATATATAATTTATAAAGATTGTTATCTGGCATACTCGTATCTAATGAAAATCTAAAGAAAGTTATTCTCTATGATTTCTTATTATTCATGGGTCAAAATGTTGCCTCTAAACCTTCTTTTTAAAAGTCAAAAATACTAGGTGCTGTGTGTAAAGTTCCATTTTGAATACCCCCACACAGCAGTATCGACCACAGTATTAGTTAATAATTATCATTTGATACTCGTCCAGAATACATGAAATACTTGCTACTAGACGTTGAGCAATCAGCAATCAACAATCAATACATCAACCATTATGATATCGACTTCAGTCTGTTTAAATCATGTTTCGTTATAACGACTTATAGTTGCTCGTTATAACAACTAAGCTAACTCGTTATAACGTTATAACCAGTTAGCAAAGTCATTATAACGACTTAAAAATAAAACTACACCCTGACACTAACCGGCTTCCGTATGTTTCTGATCAATTCCTTATTATAGAGTTTTTTTGGGATTAGGCTGGACTGAAGAAGAAACACAGGTAACTTTAGTTAAATAAGAAATATCATGTAATAATGTTAACAATAGGTAGAAAATACATTGATTTAACAATAAATGTCAACAGCTATAATGGATCACTGTTTCATTGGCGTATTATTATTTGATTTCCTATGTATATTGATTTAAAGTCTAGACCTTATAAGAAGTTCAAAAGATTGCAGTAAATTAGTGTTGGACATGCACTTTTAAATTTGTCTTATTTCTGAATTTCGCATTTCAAAATTGAGTGTAAATTCATGTAAATACACAAGAGTCGTGTGAGCAAATACGAATTCGAATATGAAAAGGTCAAAAACAAAATCGCAATACAGGGAAAATACCTCATTAAGACACTATTAGGTGTTTGATGTTTCTGTGCGTTAATTCATTACTTTTTTATGGTATAAAGTCTCGTTATAACACGGAAGGGAAATTTTAAAACTTAGTATAATGTGCTTCTAAAATTTCCCTTCCGTGATTTAAATCTATAAATTATCATATATCATATAAATTCTATATATCTTAAGCTTAACTATATTTAGGTTGTTCCTTGTCAATACTTTATTACCAATTTACTATTATAATATACACATCATTTAGTCCTATGACTAGGGAAATGACATGTAAAATCACGCGCGAAACAGGTTCATCTTTAAAGTCATATGAAACGAGATCTTTGTTATTATAATGTAAAGGAAACTATAGTGCCAATGTATGCATATATACTAAACTTAGTTCTCTATGCACGTTTTTTTTTCACATTTATTATGAATCCATAACGTATGATCGACAAACAATATGTCATTCATTGATTGTTAATCGAAAACTTTAGCTGCTAACTTTTGAACCGATCGTGAACTTGGTGCATATTAAACACAGAATCATGGAGCACGTAAAACAATAAGTTAGTAGATTGAGCGCGATGTTAATTTATTTGCTATATTTTCTATGCGTTTCTATTTGTTAATTAAACTTGTTCATAACAGTTGTTAAATGATTTGGTGTATTAATTTTTTTCTTTCAGAATAAATTTATACTATTTACCATCTAGTGCTCGATTGTTTACCTTTTCTTTCATCACAAGTTTTCCCTCGCACTTGCGCTGTGCGAATGCCGAAATTTTGACGAGAGGTCTCATAGCCGGAAAAGCTATCGGCGAATTAGAGTACGGGGAGACAATAATTTATTAGCAGCACATTTTTGAATATTATGATTAGATTACGGATTTTCTAATACAATAAAGTCCATGCATACTTGTTTTTAGTAAAACTTAGTCATTCATGTATATCATTGTTTATTATTCAACTTTTTTTTTTAATTTGAAGAATCATATGACTTTAATCCGATTTTTTTTTTAAATAACCAGTGATAACAGAGTGTAAGCATTTCTCGGGCTCATTTTTAAAATTGTGCGTACATGCAACTTTTTTTTTATAGTGTCGCATTCGACAAGCAAGTACCATGTAAAAGTTCTACAAATCATACTACTGAAAAATCTTTAAAATAATCTATTGGATAGCTTTTTTTTTGTTTTTCAACCCTTGATTCCTGGCGGCCCGGTAATGAATCTACTTATAGTAAGAATATTTTAGCATTGAAAAAAGGGAAAAAGACAAGTACAGTTCTTCGTAAGATTGTTTGGCCTATAATGCTCTTCCGTACAAAGAAAACCAGAGGATACCATTTTAAAGTCTGACGAAAACAACAGTTACTGTAACGAAACAGTGTTGTGTTCCAGTAATAATATGTACTTAAACAAATGTAACATTCTATGTCATTTGGTCGTAGGTTCCATTATTCGTGGATTAAGAAAAAAATATATTTTCGTGGATATTTGGTTTTGTTGATTTGCAAAAGTCTGTAAATAAACCGAAAGAAAATTTACTCGTTAAATATTTAAATTCGTAGTCTACCTATATCCACGAAATCCACGAAAAAAAAATATCCAACGAATAATTATGAATCCACAGTATGTCACGTTCGTATAATAGCTCTTGAGGCGGATATTTGCTATGAACGACCAGTACCAAAAGTTTTGAAATCAAAAAGATGTAAATTTGTAAAGGGCGCTGTAATGCAAAAAAATTAAGAGATACAATGGCAAAAAGATATTCTGCTTAAAGTTAGAACCCGTAAAAAAAAAACATTGATCCATAAAGATGCAAAATGTATTATATATAAGCCGGGATGGAACCCATTGGTCTCAGAAGGGTTTTACTTCCTACTACTCGTCCAGCATAACAGGCGTACATTCTTATTATTTTATTTGGTTTAAAATATTTAAACTTCTTTAAATATTTAAGAGATCTGTATTGCGAACACTAGAATATCATATCTGAAGGTGCTGTGGAAATTTTGTTATGTGTTTACATTTAAATATAACGTATTTATAGTGGAAAAATTCATATTTCGTACTCTCAACCTGTAACTGTGAATAAAATAATATGATGAAATCATAGCTGACCTGCTGATTTACAGTATATTTTGCAGCTTCCAAGAAATATAAAAACTGATTCAACCACATATCTTCTAATTACTCACCGATGGAACATGATTTACATACTTTGTATATAGCGGATTGCAAGAAAAAGAGAGATGAGAAAAAGCTAGCTTGTTTTAATACAACTCAAGGCATGCCTTTGTATAAAATCTCATTAGAAACAAGACGGACACGTACATGTTAATGAGAAAATAAATTTCTAAAAATACCAGTCACAGATTTCATTAAAACTTTCAGAATGATAAAGACATGTGTTTGACCTTTGGTTGATTGTATGATGGTTGTTTTAATACCATCTACAACTATTACATGCATTTAAGGACGATGAGATTAAATATGTATATAAACTGCTTTTTAAAAGATCGACACGATTTAATTTTTTGCGTACTAGTTTACAAGGTAAAATTCTGTAGAAAGATGTGTCGACGTACCCTGACTCTATTCTGTCTCCGATCTCATCAGGTTTTCTTTTTACTAACTCTTAAACGTCACGTGCTTGACAGAGAACAGCAGTTGCATTTTTTAAGTCTTTGGTTTTACCCAGTCGGAATTCTTACCTACAAACTGTGCTGCTACGAAAGAATCGAAGCTATTCATTTGGTCTCTTGATTTCAAAAATAAAAAAATATTTAATATCTATCAAATAATACCTTAAGTTAAAAGTCAGTATTCATATTTTTAAAATTGTGTGCGATATACATATGTTTCATCATTAAATATATTGATAGCATAATTTTGGCAGGGATTGCATATATCGCA